TTGAGGGACCCCAACAGAGAGGGGGAGTGAGGGGGAGGTGGTAGCATTATAGGTAACGCTGAAAGAGCGTTGTGACAGGTAGGATGAGAGCCAGGAGAGAGCAGAATCTCTGAGGCCGAGGGAGTGTAGTTTTTTGAGGAGGAGGGGGTGGTCGACTGTGTCAAAGGCTGCAGAGAGGTCAAGGAGTAGGAGCACTAAAATGCCAGGATAGCACCAAACCCCCCAAATGACCCCTTTTTGGAAAGTAGACAATCCCAAGGAATTTGATAAGAAGCATGGTGAGCATTTTGCAGGTCTCATTTTTTGTCACACATTTTTGGGATATGAAGAAAGAAAACAAAAACATATTTTTTCTTTTTTTATATTTCAAAAAGGTTGTGAAAAAAAATGTGATCTGCAAAATACTCACCATGCCTCTTTTTAAATTTCTTGTGGTGTCTACTTTCCAATAAGGGGTCATTTGGGGGGGGGTCTGGTGCCATCCTGGCATTTTAGGGTCTCTGAAACTGTGATAGGTAGTGAGGAAGTGAAATGAGGAAATTACGCACCTTCAGGCTTTCAATGTGGTCATTGGTTATTTGTGACATTATATGTTCTGTACCCTTGCAGATTTCTACCATCAATGTGCCTGTTTCTCTTGTTTCTCCTTCAAATGTGATGTATGTATATACATGTGAAAATCAATAAAAACTGTTAATTATAAAAAAAAATAGTGGTCATTGGATTTCAGGCTCCTGTATGTGGCTAGGCTCCCAAAAAGTCTCACACATGTGGTATCCACATACTCAGTAGAAGTATGTATTTTGGGGTGTAATTCCACATATACCCATGGCTTGTGTGAGCAATATATAATTTAAATGACAACTTTGTGTAAAAAAAAAAGTTTTTGTAATTTTCCAAAGACTTGTGGAAAAAAAATAAATCTTCCATGGACTCAATATGCCTTTCAGCATATAGCTTAGGGTGTCTACTTTCCAAAAAGGGGTCATTTGGGGGTGTATATACTGTCCTGGTATTTTAGCACAGAAATGTGATAGGCAGTCAGAAAGTAAAAGCTGTGTAAATTCCATTATCTATACCATAGTTTGTACATGCTATAACTTTCACACAAAGCAATCAGTATACACTTATTGGGATTTTTTACCAAAAACATCTAGCAGAATACATTTTGGCCTACATTTATGATGAAATTTGAGTTTTTTGGATATTTTTTTATGACAGAAATGAGAAAATATTGTTTTCTTTTCAAAATTTTCGGTCTTTTTTTGTCTATAGCACGAAAAATAAAAAGCGCACAGGTGATCAAATATCACCAAAAGAGAACTCTATTTGTTTGAGAAAAAGGACATAAATTTAACCTCTTCACGCCGGCCGAACGCAAATGTGCGGACTCCCAGCATCTAAGCCTAGACGCTGAGCGGCCGCACATTTGCGTTCTATTAAAAAAAGACATATGTGCTGAGAGCGCGCGCCCTGCGTGCTGCCAGCACACATGTCCGGTACTCACGGAAAGGTCCCGATCTCTTCTTTCGATCGGGACCTTTCCTGATCATGTGCCCGCCTTGACGGCGTGTCATGGCGGTCACATGACCCTAAACCCCGCCCCGCCTCCTGGCTTCTGAAACCCTTAAAGGGCTGGGAGGCGCCGGCGCGAAGGGGTTAATTTATGTACAGTATTGCATGACTGTGTAATTGTCAGTTAAACTAGTGCAGCGCTGTATAGCAAAAAATGGCATAAATTGCTTTATCTATACCTTTAGTATGTAGACGCTATAACTTTCACACAAAGTTTTTATCCTTTTTTTGAGACAGATAGAGCTTTCTGTTGGTGGTATTTGATCACCACTGGGTTTTTTTTATTTTTTGCTATATAAATGAAAAAATACTGAAATATTTTTGCTTAGTTTTTGTTATAAAATTTTGCAAATAGATAATTTTTCTTCATAAATGTAGGCCAAACTGTATTCTGCTACATTTTTGGGGTAAAAATAACCCAAAACAGTTTATATTATTCAGTTTATGTGAAAGCTATAGAGTCTGAAAACTATGGAATATATATTTGAAAATTGATCAGTTGAGATCCTAAAATACCTGATGCTGGTATGGCATATGGCAGTGATCAGGATGCTGGTATGGGGTATGGCGATGATCAGGACACTGGTATGGGGTATGGCGGTGATCAGGGTGCTGGTATGGTGTATGGCAGTGATCAGGGCGCTGGTATGGTGTATGGAGGTGATCAGGGTACTGTACACTCACACACTGCAGGATTGCTTCTCTCTGCTTTCACGCTGAGAGCAGAGAGAAGCAATCTTTACTTTCAGTTTCATTGTTTACTATGTGAGTGCTGTGATTGGTCACATCAGTCACATGGCAAAACACCACGTGATTGCCTGAACACAGCGGTAATGTGATCCACTGTGTCCAAGTGACACACTGATCACCAGGCTTTGGGGTGCCCACTCTGTGAGCTGTGCATGAGCCATCGATGTGGGTTGATGTACAGGAATGTTAGCCCACATCGGCGCTGCTTCTATGCACAATGGGCTCACAGGAAGTGGTTAAATAATAGCATTTGTCATTGCATGATGGCATCATCTTTAACCACTTGAAGTCCTCCATGTTAGGCTCCCTTCCTGTTTAGGACATGTTTTTATCAGTTTTCAGCACTGTAATACTTTGGCTGACAATTGCTTGGTCATGCAACACTGTACTCAAATTAATTTGATATAATTTTTGACACAGAGCTTTCTTTTTCTGGTATTTAATCACCACTGGGTTGTTTTTACAATATAAAGAAAAAAAAGACCAAACATTTTGAAAAATAAAAATCTGCGGTAATGAGCTCCTCATTAATTTTTCTGACCACCTTGCATTCAAACAATTTCTCTCCAGCAAGCTTGTCAGATATGGGGTCAAGATGTAGAAGACCTATGAGAGGGCAACAGGCTATACATATAAGTTTCGGATTTACGAGGAAAAAGATAGTCACGTGGAGCCCCCCAGATGCCCAGACTACACGGGGAGTAGTGGCAAGATAGTGTGGGACTTGGTGTCATCCTTTTTCCATAGGGAGTACCACTTTATATGTGGACAATTTTAGTCAAGCATGCCACTATTTAGACATTTGTACAATCTTGGAATTGGCGCATGTGGCACCATGCAACCTAATGTGTGCCCACCATTAGAAATGGGTGGATGCAGGGCGGTATATTCTAATGATTGGCATACCACACACTTTTTCTGGCAGATATTTCTTCTCTTTTTTTTATTCAGCCCACAGCCTGCATACAAAAAAAAAAAAGAACATAGCATATATACCCAACAAGGACCAAAGAAGTATTGGTACATCACTGAACTTTGAATGGTTATACCAGGATGATGCCACAGGCTGCATACAAAAAAAAAAACATAGCATATATACCCAACAAGGACCAACGACGTAATGGTACATCACTGAACTTTGAATGGTTATACCAGGATGATGCCTACAGCTGCAGGCATCATCCTGGTATCGTTTTTTTCAGCCGGCGACCGGCTTTCATGTAACAGCAACCCTAGTGGCTAGTTAGCTGCAGGATTGCTTTTACAAGCAGAGGGAGATGATACCCCCTCCCCCTCTGCTTTCCAAGGCCTTCTCGGGCAGACTCGTGCCATCGGGGGAACCTGAGAATGCAGCCAGTGTTTCTGCCAGCTGACCATAGAGCTGATTAGAGACCAGAATGGTACCAATCATCTCTATAGTCTAAGAAATCGGAAGCTACGAGCATTTCATCACTTCAGTTTCGCAGGATATAAACAGCGCCATTTGTAAATTGGGAAAGCATCTGATCACACCCATCTTGGTTTGATTAGATAATGTAAGGGCAGAGGAGATATCTAGAGTCTTATAGACTCCAGATTTCTAAAAAAATAATATGACAATGCCCATTGAAGTTATATGGGATATTTGCATTCCCTGTGATAGCATTCAAAGTGATAACAAAAAAACAATGAAAGGGACAGTGTAAAAATAATTTAAAAAAATCTAAATAAGTTAAAAAAAAAACAAAAGCACCCTCGCCCCCCCACGCACGCACACCTTTATGCGCGAACGTTGATCCTGTGCTGGTATGTAAATAGCGGTTGCACCATGCATGTGAGGTATTGTCATGAACGTCCTCTGTAAATCTAAAATGGCAGCTTGTAAAGGCTTTTAAAACGTTGCCTATGGATATTAAAAACGTATGCAGTTTGTCACCATTGCACGGGGCATGCGCAGTTTTAAAGCATGTCATGTTTGGTATCTATTTACTTGGCATACCATCATCTTTTTATACGTTTTTTTTTTTTTTATAAATATTTATTGAATTTTGACAAGATTCATTTTACAATCATTTTCTCCAATTAAAAAAGAAAACGAAACAATATCATTTTACTACCATAATTATCTCCCTAAAATATCTCTATTTCCCCCCCTTTTCCCATCTACCCTTCTCTCCCATCCTCCCCTCCAACCACTGTGCCTTTTCCCCACCTCCTTGCTATAGAAAGCAATCAAAGTAGGTCTAGTAGAATTTTACATCTTCATATATTTCACCTTTCCTTTAAAATCTTCCCATTTTTTTCCATTTTGCATAACATGTCCCCATCTTATCTACATGCATGTAATAAAGTTTCTCCATCTCACTAATCTGATTCACTCTAACTACCCAATCCTCTTCCGTCGGCACTTCCTTTTTTCGCCAGAAGCTGGGTATCAGACTCTTTGCTGCATTTAGTAAATACCATATACCCGAATCCTTATATAGTTTCACTGATAACTCTGTATTGTGGAATAGACAAACTCTGGGTCTAATCTAATATTAATTTCAGTAATCCTCCCCACTAAGTGAACTATTCTCTTCCAGAATGTTTGTATTTTTGAGCACTCCCACCATATATGATACAACATGCCTATCTCTCCACACCCTCTCCAACACAATGGTGAAATCTCCCCATACTTTTTTTTTTTCAACTTTCGGTGTAATGTGCCATCTTATCAAACACTTGTCTTTTATTTCCACCTCTCGCATACTAATATTTTCATAAATTAATCTATATATTTTCTTCTGCTTCCCCTCATCTATTTCCATACCCAAATCTCTTTCCCATTTCTCTATATACATCAGTTTTGTGCTGGTGTCTAAATCAGTGAAAATTTTATATATTTTTGCAATTCCATGTTTCCCATCTCCCCGTGAATCTAACAACCTTTCAAATGGATTCCAATCCTTTTTAGTTCTCGAAGGTTTCGGGAGTCTCCCAACAAAGTGCTTCAATTGGTGATATCGCCACTCATCTATCCTATTGAAAATATCTCCTTTTTTCTTTTCCAACTCCTTAAATGATCCCAATTCCTCACCCACCATTATATCTCTCAATTGCGCATCCTCCTTTATAATCCATTTTCCTGTGATACCCTCCCTACCTGGAGCAAAAAACTCTGTGTTCCTTAGTGGCATTAACAGTGAATTAAAAACCCACCCCTTCTGTCTGTGCATTATATCCCAAACTCTTAAAACATTTAAAGTGTACAAACTTGTGTTATCATCCAATCCCCTATTTTGTGTGGGCACCCATATGTTAGGTTCGTTCCACTCAGCGTATTTTCGTTTTTTTTTTTTTTTTTTTTTTAATTTAAATATTTATTAATTTTTCATGTTATTACAAAAATTCCACAAGAAGAGACACAATACATATAAATAATCCATACATTTCTACTTTGCCCCTTCTATTTTACCTCTTTTCTTTCCCTACCCTCCCAGCCCACCTTTACCCCCCTTCCCCCCCCCTCCCCTCTGCAAGATCTCCAATCTCTCAAGGCCCAATAACTTTAAATAACTTCCTAGTTTAAAGTTTTCTATATTTCTCTTTCAATCCTGATTTTTCCCATTTTTCCCATCGCGAATAGTATAGATCCAACCTGTCTTCCTGAATATAATAAGATTTTTCCATTCTACTAATCTGGTTTACCCTATTGATCCAATCCTCCTCCGTCGGCACCTCCGTCTTCCACCAAAACTTGGGAATCAACCCTTTTGCAGCACTTAAGTAGTACCATACGCCTGATTCTTTATATTTATTTACGGTTGTCTCAACATTATGTAGGAGACACATGGTTGGGTCAAGCCCTATGTCATTTCCAGTTATTATTTCTATTGATTTAACTATTGTCTTCCAGAAAACCTGAATTTTTGGACATTGCCACCATATATGAAACGCCGTGCCCTCCTCCCCACATCCTCTCCAACACATTTTTGAATTCTCCCCCCTCATCCTGTGCTCAGTGCTCGGTGTAATATGCCATCGTGTCAGACATTTATAATTAATCTCAACGTCTCTCATACTAACACTCTCATGAACCAATCTAAATATCTTATTCTGTTGATCTTCATCTATCACCACCTCCATATCTCTTTCCCAATTTGTTATAAAAATTAACTTTGTGTCTGTGTCTAATTCTGTGAGTATTCTATAAATTTTTGTAACACCATGTTTCCCATCTCTACGTGTTTCTAATAGCCTTTCAAACATATTCCACTCCTTTTTTAATCTCAAGGGCTTTGGGAGATTTCCAATAAAACATTTTAATTGGTGATATTTCCACTCATCTATTTTAGTAAACATATCTCCTCCCCTCTCTTTTAATTCTTTAAATGTTCTCAATTCCCCCTCTACCAATACGTCTCTCAGTTGGATATCTTCCTTTTTAAACCATCTCCCTGATATCTCATCTTTTCCTGGAGGGAAGAACTCCGTGTTTGCAAGAGGCATTAATATAGAGTTGAATTCCCATTTCATGTGTTTGTGTAAATTATCCCATGTCCTTAAAACGTTTAAAGTGAAGGTGCTTGTGCTTTCTTTAATTCTTCTAAAATGTGCTGGAACCCATATCATCTTACTCAAATTAATTCCACTCAGTTCATTTTCTATTTTTACCCAACCTTTCCCCTTGTGGTTAAAAGTCCAATCATAGATTCTTGCTAAAATTACTGCTTTGTAATATCTCTTGACATCAGGTAGTCCCATCCCCCCTTTCTCTTTAGTCCTGCTCAGTGTTTCATATGATATTCTTGTTTTTATTCCTCCATATATATCTTGTTATCATTCTTCTCATTATCTTAAAAAATGCCTCTGGGAGTTTTATTGGAATCATTTGAAATCTATAGAGTATTTTAGGTATAATTACCATTTTAACTAGGTTTATACGTCCTAACCATGATGGATTTCCTCCTTCTAATCTTTTTAGTTCGTCCTTAATCTCATTTATCAGGGAAATATAGTTTAATCTATATAGTTGTTTATATGAGGTAGCAAGTTTTATTCCTAGGTATTTTATATCTTTTTCTCTCTATATAAAGGGGAATTCTTTTTGTAGCTTTTCTTTTTCGCTCTTTGGTATATTGATGTTCAAAATCTCTGTTTTTGTTGGGTTAATTTTTAGATTTGATAGTTCACCATATTCCTTCAGGGTCTTCATTATACTTGGTAGTGTTATTCGGGGGTTGCCTACATAAAACAATAGATCGTCCGCAAAGGCCGCTACTTTATGTTCTATATTTTCTATCTGGATTCCCTTTACCGCTCCGCTATTCCTTATTATTGATAACAGGGGTTTCCAATGTCAAAACGTACAGCAAGGGGGACAATGGACAGCCTTGTCTTGTTCCATTGGACATCCCAATGGATTCCGACCTCTCCCCATTTACCGTGATGATTGCGGTGGGCTCCCTATATAATTTACCTATCCACTCACGCATTCTCTCTCCAATCCCCAACACTTCCAAGTTGTCCATCATAAAGCCCCAGTCCACTCTATCAAACGCCTTTTCGGCATCAATTGACAAGAGCACCACCGGGGCTTTTCCTTTTCTACTTTTCTGGATAAGCATCAAAGTTCTCAACCCATTGTCTCTACCCTCTCTCCCCGGGACGAACCCCACCTGATCTCCATGGATCCATTCGGGCATTAGATCTTTTAGCCTGTTTGCCAAGACCTTTGCGTACAACTTGGTATCAGTGTTTAATAATGAAATTGGTCTATAACTAGAGCACTGAGAGGGATCTTTTCCCTCCTTATGAATGAGAACGACATGGGCCTGAAGGGATTCCCTCCTCCCCTCCATCCCCCTCCCCAAGTCATTCATATACTTCTTTAACTTTGGTATCAGTACTTCACAAAATTTTTTATAGTACTTAACTGTATAACCATCCGGGCCTGGGCTTTTCCCTCCCCCTGTACTTCTTAATGCTACTTCTATTTCTTCCTGGGAAATTTCCGCATCTAAGGAATTCAATTGTGCTTCACTAAGCTTTGGCAATCCAGCATTTTTTAAATATATATCTTCCTTTTTTCGTTAATACCTTCTCTAGTTTCTTTTGGTGAACCTTGATGACTGATGTTATACAACTTTCTATAATACTCCGTGAATACTTTAATGATTTCTTTAGTTGAGTGGACCAACTCCCCCTTAGGGCTTTTTATCTTTTCTATATAATTCCTGTTTTTCTTTTTATTCAGGGCTCTCATTAAATATTTTCCTGGTCTATCTCCCCATCTATATCTTTCGCTTAATACTTTGTTATATACCTTCTCCTCTCCTCTTCCATCAATCTCTCTAATTCGTCTTTTTTTATCCATTAACTTCTGTCTTGTTTCTATTGTTATTTTCTTCTTATGTATCTGCTCCAAATCCAGGATTTCCTTTAAGAGTCCACTAACCCTCTCTCTTCTTTCTTTTTTCTTCCTTGCTCCCATCGCAATCAAAATTCCTCTTATATATACCTTATGACTTTCCCATACTGTAGCTGTCGTTACTTCCTCTGTCTCATTCTCCTTGAAAAATACCTTAATCTCTTCCCTGATCTTCTGCACAATATCTTCATCCAAGAGAAGAGCCTCGTTTAACCTCCATCCTAAACCTCCCGTCCACCTTTTTCCCCATCCTATTTTCATTATGACAGGGGCATGATCCGAGAAAGTTCTTGTCTCTATTTCTATTTTAACCAGCATTTCAATGAGTTGATGATCTATTAGAATGTAATCCAGTCTCGAGTATATCTCATGTGCATTAGAGAAGAAGGTATAGTCTCGTCTTTCATATGCATCATTCTCCAGGTGTCCACCAGTTGGTACTCGTGGATCACCTTCTTCAAAGCTCTCAGAGACCTACCCCCCTCTCTCCGCACAAGGGAGGTTGCATCCTTTTGTGGGTCCATACAAAAATTAAAATCTCCTGCTATTATCAAACGCCCTTTTTTAAAATCTATCAATTTTTTCAACATACCCTTCAAAAAGATCTCCGGTTTCTTGTTGGGGCAATATATATTGGCTAGTGTACACTCAATTCCCTGTAGTTTACCTTTCAAGAACAGGAATCTCCCCTCCGGGTCAGTCTTTCTATCTTCCAACTCAAATCTCATATTCTTTGCCAATCCTATTGCCACCCCCTTTGCTCTTTTAATTGGAGAGTCAGCATAATACCATGTTGGATAATATTTGGATTTTAATTTCACATTTGATTCTATCTCAAAATGTGTCTCCTGTAAAAATACCACAGACGTTGCCCTGTGGTGTAACTCTTTAAACAACTTAAATCTTTTCCCAGGACAGTTCAACCCATTCACATTATATGTTATAAAAACTGTATTTCTTCCATCCTTCTTGATTCTGTCTATCTCTCTTCTGATTCGTCTCTTCCTATTAGGCCCCCCTACTATCTTGCAGCATATCAACCCAACCTCCCCTCCCTCGGCTCCCTCCCGCCCAACCCCCATCTCCCACCCCCCACCCTCTCTTCTTTTTTCCCCTACCCATTTTTAGGCTTATAAACTGCCTACAAATCATTTGTGGATCTGATTCCACCTTTTGATTTAAAATTTAGGGCGTAAGCTCCGCCCATGTACGGCTCACCTCTCCTCCGACCCCCCCCCCCAGGTCCCCTCTCTCTATCAGCCAGGCTCAGGAAGTATCATTACTTCTCTCCTAACCGGAGCTTCCCGGGGACCTCAACTTTCGGGGGGGGGAGAGACCAGGGGCGAGAGGGAGAGAGAGAAGAAAAAAAAAAAAAAATATATTTTTCTACTTAATTCTCCCTCCCTTCCCTCCCCGGCCCCCAGAGCCTCCCCCCCCCCCCCCTGACCCGCTGCCAGTCCTCTTTTCTTGTGTTCTCTGTATCTCCTTTATCCTCTTCTTCCCACCCAGCAATCTCCATTCTTTGCAAGTCCAGTCTATCACAAAAATCCCTTAGTTCCTCCGGGAATCTCAAATAAGCTGTGACCCCGTTTTTCCAGCCAATTAGAGTTGCTGAGGTACCCCATCTATACTGCACATTCTGTTTTCTCATTTGCTCCAGCAGGGGTCTCAGGGATCTCCTTCTCCTTAGGGTCTCTGCTGTTAAGTCCGCATAAATTTGGATAGTCCAATCTCCATACTTAACTGATGATCTTCCCTTAGTTTTCTTCCAAATCTCATCTTTGGCCCCAAATTTTTGGAACTGGACAATTATGTCTCTCGGCCTGTCCTTCTCAGTAGCCTGTTTGAACTTTCCTATTCTGAACACTCCATCTAACTTGATCCCATCTGTATCAGGTCTGTCTCTTATGGAGTTCAGAATTTTTTTTTAACTAGATCATATAGCGTTTCGCCTTTTGCAGTCTCTGGGATTCCTCGTACTCTGAGATTACACCTTCTTTCTTTATTTTCTTGAGCTTCCATCCTATAGGTCAATTTTTTCTGAGAGGTTACCAAATGGGTTATTTTTTTCCTTAGATATCTATGTTTTGGGCCTGGATTTTGACTTTCTCCTCTGATTCTTCCATTCTTGTTAGCAGATGCCCTAAATCCTTTCGTATAGCTGTCAATTCATGTTTTATCATTTTTTCCAAATTTTGAAACATTTCTATCATCTCCTTCTTATTTGGTACTTGTAGTTCACCATCAGATTCTTTTTTTCCCGAGCCATCTACTATTTGTTGGCTACAACTGCTATTCATGCCCAATGATAATCTAGGACTGCTTCCTAGACTAATGTCCATTTCCCCTTTTGCGCTTGCGCCTTGGGCCCTTTCTGGCGTAATATTTCCATATGATGTAAATTTCTTTATTGTTCCTGTTTGGGACCCTTTGAGCCCTGCTCCCTTGGAACCTTTATTCTTCATATTCTCAAGATGGGATTTTACCGCTTCTTTATGATTTATGGACCAGACAGGCTTGCTGTTTTTCCTATGTGTTTTTACTCTCCTAAAACACCTGGGCCTCCTCTCTTCTTCTCTTCCAACCCCTGGGAATCCTCCCCTCTCCTCTTTCACCCCTTGGTCTCCTGTGTCTCTCAAGGGTCCACAACACAATAAGCCCCCAGCAGCGCTCACTCACCCTTCCCAGGTCGGTGGCTCCAGGCTTGTGGCTCCAGGCTTATGTGGAGGGCCTTCACTGCTGCACAGTCCTGGAGGGGGGATTCCTCTGGGTTTCCAGTACTTTATTTCATTTTGATTCGTCCCAGGGAAGCAGGATGGATCTCTTGATATTCATGGGTCTCCCTGACCCAGGATCAGACAGTCAGCCAGGGGGTGCTTGCAACAGTGGACCAACGGCTCCCTGTCACATCAGGAAGCCGGCCGGCCCGCCTCTTTCCCCCAGTGATGCTCCGCGGCAGGTCACGTGCTCAGCAGCGTCTCCTCTCCTCTCAGCCGCACGGATCTCCCACTCATACCGCGCCGGGGGATCCGGCGTGACCCTGCAGCCTCAGATCAGCTCCCATCTCCGGCTCTCCGGGTTCACCTTCCACCCCGTCCAGACTCCGGTGAGTCTACTCCTCTTGAGGGTAACTGGGTGGGTCGGGGAGCGGGACCCAGCAAGGAGCTAGAGCCGCTCGCTCCCCACAGCCGCCATGTTCAGGCTCCTCCTGGAACCATTTGAAATTTATATAAGAATTTGGGCACAATTATCTCTTTTATCAAATTTATGCGTCCTATCCAAGATTGGTTT